CCAGATCTTTCTGCAGCAGCTCTGAGAAAAGTTAGCTGGCTCAGCTCTCCCTCCCACACCGTAGCGTACGCCATGACGACAGTTCCCCTTTTGTGTGTACATGTGGGTGCAGGTGTGTGCACATGCACGCGTGTCTGTGTTCGCATGGAGACCAAAGGTCGACAACCGGGTAATCTTCCTCTTGTTCTCTATACCCTTCTTTTTCTTCTCTAACCCCGCCCCCCGGCCCGCCCCATTTCTGAGACAGAGTCTCTTCTAACTCTGAAGTTCACCACCGCCTCTTTTAAAGGTCTGTTTTTACGTGTGTGTGTGTGTGTGTGTGTGTGTGTGTGTGTGTGTGACTGCAGGTCAAAAGAGGGCATTAGATCCCCGGAAGAGGAGTTACAGGTGGTTGTGAACTGCTTAACGTGGGTGCTGGGAACTGAACTCAGGTCCTCTGCAAGAGCAGCAGGCGTGTTCTTGATCACTGAGTCATCTCTCCAGCCTCCAGTCCATTTTGTTTTTGTGTATTTGTTTTGTTTCTTTAAGACAGGATCTCTCTTTGTAGCCTTGGCTGTCCTAGAATTCACAGAGCTCCACCTGCCTCTGCCTTCCAAACGCTGGAATTAAAGGTGTGTGCCTCCAGCATCTGGACTTTTTTTAAAATGGGAATTCCCCAACTCAGTCACACTTGCATACAGCTGCCTTACCAACTGAGCCATCTCCCGGCTCTAAGAGCTACACTCAACGTAGCCGCGTATTTCAAAGAGGTGAAGAACCTGAGCTGCCAACAAGAAAAAGAAATCAACCCAGGTATATCACACAGCTGAAGCCAGGACTTAGAGGCTGGTGAAGGGCAGTTATCCTAATGAGTTCCAGGGTATATGGGGGGGGGGAAGGGAGAAGAGACAATATGAATGAGAATGAATGAATGAATGAATGAACATAACTGGACAGGAAGTGCAGGGACTCTAGCCAGGTGGTTCCCCCACCCCTGCCCTGATCATGTTGTTCTGCAAGCGCTTAGGGTCTGGGCGACAGCTTTCAGGGCCAAACACAGAGCCGTGGATTTGACAGCCTCTCTGAGGAGCAGCCAGGGGGCTGTGCGACGTGAGCACATGCAGCAGAAGGGGAGCGTGGCTGTCCCGCTCCAGATTGCGCTCGGAAAAGACACGTCTGAGGACTCCTGTATCCCAGGCTTGTCTTCCCAGATACTTAGGAGGCCGAGGCACAAAATTCCTCAGTTCTGGTTTGTATAGGCTTCTGAGTGATTCAAGGTCAGTCTGGGCAACTTAGTAAGGCCCTGTATCAAAACTAAAACTGAAAAAGGCTGGAGGTGTGGCTCAGTGGTAGAGCCCCTGCCTAGAATGCCCCAGTGAGGGGTTGGGTTTGTGGCTCAGTGGTAGAGCCCCTGCCTAGAATCCCTCAGTGAGGGGCTGGGGGTGTGGCTCAGTGGTAGAGTATGCTTTCCTTGTATGTGGGAGGCCCTGAGTCCAATCCTTAGTGCTATAAAAAAAGAGGGCACAAGGGACCACGTGAAGGTCAGGGGTTTGATCCTGTGCTCTTGAATCTTTCTGAACAGCATACCGCAAACAGAAGGGCTGGTGGCACTGTTGACTATGAGTCTCCTTTGTAACCTGTGCCGGCAAAAGCAGAGCTTAATCCACAGAGATGTAGACTCAAATCTTGGGCTCTATCACTGATCTCATGACCTTGAGTTAATCCCTGAGCTCCAAGTTCCTTCTTTGTAGAAGCTCTGTCACCGTGTTGTCTTTCTGTGTATACACCAGGACATATGTCATTTACATGTCCATATTTCTACACAGAGAGAGACTAGATCCCCCTTCCTGCCTGATTCCTACTAAGATGCCGCATATACCCTAAAGCCTCTTCATTCAAATAGGCTCCCAGGCTCCCCTAGCTGGTGTTCAGTCTCCCCTCCTTCTTTATTCAATACTTAGATGTTTATATCTATATGTGCGTATGTGCACATGAGTGCAGGTACCTGCAGAGGCCAGAAGAGGGCACTGGACCCTTTGGAGCTGGAGTTACTGGAGGTTGTGAGCCACCTTGGCATGGGTGCTGGAAGTGAGCTCAGGTCCTCTTCGAGAGCAGCAACCAGTCTTAACTGCTGAGCCACCTCTCCAGGCCTGACCTCCTTTCTTCTACCCTGCTGGCCTATGTTTCTTAACTTCAGGTCCCTGTCCTTCCCCGGACTGGGCTCTTAGCTGGGCAGAGGGAGGGGCCGGTCTATTCCTGCATCCCTTGGGGTCAGCGGCACCCAGGCACCAAGTGAGAATTTCCAGGGTCGTTCTCTTCCCCATGCTCCACCTGCTCCACCCCAGGGTGGGTGGGGGGGGGGGGTGACTAAGTCTGCTGGGAGGTGGAGGCAGGGGAGTGCTTGGGGAGGTTCAGGGTGATGTCACCAATCTTGAGAACTGACGTGGAACTGACAGGGGGGAAGAGGGAGGAGAAATCAGGCAACCTGTGGGTGTTACTAATAGATCTGCTGCTGGCGGTGGGGATGGGCATGGGGGGGGGGGTGGCTAAAGACGAGGATCCTGGATCCAGCTTCGTCAAGAGGCCTTGAACGCCACAGCAAGGACCTGGCCCTGTGGAAACTGTGATTGTTTGCTTTAGACGGGCAGTGAGATGTTCTGGGGATGCCCCGTTTTGGGGAGGTAGGTGCTAGCAGGCATCTGGAGCACTGTGGTGGGAGAGAAGAATCAGGGATGACGACCCGCATGGCTCACTGCCGGAAACAAGTTAGCGGCCATACACCACCGCTATTCCATCTGGGGCACAGGCTTTGTTTTTTACAGGAATTTAATGACCCATCCCCAGCAAGCAGCAGCCCCTGGATAAAGAAATGGGGCGGGATGTACTATGTCCATTTTATGGAGGGACAAAGAGAGAAGCAGAAGAGGACAGTGACCTGGCCTGGGCCTCAGGTGCTGATTCCAACATGAAGCCACGCCTGGGCTCAGAGTGCATAAGGGCAGTAGGCTGTCGGTCCTCAGACCCGCTGTACTCAGCGCTTTCTAGAGCCAGAGCCTGGAGACAAGGAGGTGACCTTTGACCCCTCAGTCATCTTGCCACTGGTCACTCGGGCCTACCCTGGAAGGGAGGAGGGGTACCCACCTTTGCAAGGGGATAAGGCTTCCCTGCGGTCAGGTAGGCCGTGTGAGTTTGTCTCTGGGTCTTAATCCGAGGCCTTCAAGTTGGACCTTGGGAGCAGCAGATGAGGGATGCCCATAAAAAGGCCAGTCCCTTCACCAAGGTACAGGGAACAGCCAGAGGCAGCCTTCCCTCAGTCTTCCTACCCAACGTCCCCCAAAAGCCCCCTTGTCTCCAGCTTGAGAAAGAAGGGAGGAACCAGAGGGCTGTCATGGACTGTAGGGGCCAGAAGTTGGGAATCTGTCACCTCCAGCCCCTGGGTCCTAGGGATTGCCTGGAGGGTGGGCAGAGAGCAAGTGGATGTAGGACTAGAAGGTCTGACAGAGAAGGGCTTTTTTTTTTTTTTTTGCACAAGTGTGTGTGTGTGTGTGTGTGTGTGTGTGTGTGTAAGGGGGGGAGCTTGTTCAGAATCTGAGCTGTTAGCTTTGTTTTCAAATGACCTGTTTAATGATTTACCTGGGGCCATCCAAGGAGCAAGGGGCTCTACCCTCAGGCTAAGGAGGTAAAGATTTCAAACCTCTGGCCCCCACAGACAGAACAGCCCTAGGAGCAGAAAGTAAACAGATGCAAAGCTACCTAGCTGACTTCATCTTCCAAACAATAGCGCTGGCTGACCAAGCTGCTGAAGTCAGGTCCCTTAGCAAGAACTTTTAACAGGTTCTCTTCCCCTGAGCCCAACCCCACAGGAGGGAGAAGGCAGCCTGGGAAGGGAAGGAGGGAGGGAGGGGGTGTGTTTGCTGTCAATTTAACTTAATCTTGACCTGTAATGTATTCATTCCTTTGGCAGCGAGGCTCTCCTTAACTGCCCCCCCCACCGCCCCCGACCCATCATAATGATAATCAAATGAGGTTTAAGTTAACCGTAGCTTGCTCCAATTCCCACTCCACAGGAGGAAAAGGGCAATTAAAAAAAAAGAGAGATAACCGGATTCTAATCCAACAGGAGTTTATGAAGTCAAACGCACACCTAGCAATGGGAAAAATCTAAGGTTTACATTTTCTTCTTCTTCTTACCTCTCAAGCCCTTCTACTATTTTTTTTTTTTTTTGCTCCCCTCTGCAACATCCAAGCCCAGCCTCCAGGCAGATCCATAAACACGCCAGCTCCTCCCCTTCCATGGTTCAAAATCCCCCCTCCCTCTCCCACTTCGCTGGACCCCCAAAGAGAAAAGAAAATCAGCTACCCTGGCCCTGCAGCCCCTCCCCCGCCGCCTGCACCTCCTCGCTCCCTGCGCAGGCACCTGGAGATAAACATCTACTAATGATTTTATGATTTTTCTGTCCTGGGGTAGACGAGCTCAGCGCCCTGCCTCCCCGCTTGCCGGTGGCTACAGGGGGGCCCGACCGACCCAGCCAGTAGGAGGGGAGTGGTGGTGGCGGATGGATGGGGGGGGATGGGGCGTGTTTAGTTTGTTAATTTTCACCTCCGGATCCCCACACCTGTTATTCATTCTTTCTCTCGTCCATTCATTCATTCGTTCGTTCATTCATTCATTCGTTCACGGATGCATCACAGAGGCCATTTGGGGGAGGTTACTAGAGATCTCAGGGAAGGGACTGCGATGGGGTGGGGGGGAGGGTTGGGTGTTGGTGGCAGCAGTTGGAGGCGCAGTGGGGTGGGGGATCTGGGTGGAGGGGACCCCCAACTAGAGAGCACAGGGGTGGCTTTGTCCGATGAAGGAGGATGGCAGAGATCCCGGGGGGGTGGCGGTGGTGGAGGGGGGGGATGAAGTTGTTTTGCACTGCGTGTCCCCCCCGGGGTGCGCCTCTTTGTCTGTCCCGGGGCGGGTGCCGCGCGCGCCCCCCCCATCCCCTCGCCCCTCACTCTCTTTCTCGCTCTCTCACCTGGTCTTGGAAGACAGGAAGGCAAGTTTGATGAGGCCGTAGGTGAAGAGCGGGATACTCTCCTTGGCGACGCTGGCAACTTGCAGCCGGTGTTCCAGAATGTGCAGTTCCATCGTCCGCCCAGGGGTCCCCCACAGCGGATCATCCGCGATGGCCCGAGTTGCAAGGGCGGGCGGAGGGGACGGGGACGGGGATGGGGACGGGGACGAGCAGCGGCCCCCGCCCCCTGCGTGCCCCAAGCCTTGGGGCAACCGGCCCAGGGAAGGGGGGCCGGAGCTCGGTGCTAGGCTGATTTGTATTCGATCCAGAAAAAAGGAAGCTTGGCACGTTGCAAAAAAAAAAAAAAAAGGAGGCCTGGGGAGGACCTGCGGGGTGCAGCGAGCTACGGGGTGGACAAGCAAACAGCGCCCGGCGGAGCGCGGCGCCCGGCGCAGCAGCAGCTGGTGTTCGCTGTAACAAACAACTTGCCACTCAAACGCCGGGCCCGTGCTGCGCAGGCGCCGGCCGCGGGGGCCACGCGATGCCTATCGGGATTTGTAGTTCACGCTCACGCTTTTACCCGGCCCTTCCCCCTGGACTACTCCAGCTTGCTGATGTCAAGCCAGGGGGGCTGGGCTGTTGCGCCACGGTGCACCGGGAATGCAAGATTTCGGGGTTCCCCAGGGACACAGAAGAACCCTATGGGGACACATAGGACGTTTGGAGCCGAGCTAAGCTTAGACGCATGCTCTGTCATCTCTCAAACTCAGGATTAGGCTCTTTCTTTGGGGTGTCAAGCGAGCAACCCCTTTCCTCCACAAAACAACTCCAGCGTTGAAGGCCTGAGCCTGCCAGGGGGAGAGATTTAGAGGAACCGGTGATTGTCGTGCAGCGAGGCCAGAGCCAAAGACAAGGCTTGGGTTAGATAGAGAAGGGCGCTGGGTCCTGGTGGAAGGGTGCCGAGGGCTGAGTGAGAGCTCACAGGCAGGGGGTGGGGGGGAGGGAGAGCCGCGCGGCCTTCCAGGCAGAAGGAACACCGTGTCCAAACGCACGGAAGCGTGAAAGCCCCCACGGTACTGTGTTTGGCTTTGTTGCTGCGGAAAATGTGAGGGAGGAGAGAGATAAGGCAGGCACGGGAACCAGGACCCGCGTCTCCGGGATCACGAGTGCAAACGCTGCTGAAGTGACTGTGGGTCTCCGGGAGAGGGCAGGGTGCGGGGGTGGGCGGGGAGGAGCAGACCCGAATCTGAGTGAGAGTCATCCTCAGTGTTTGTAACCCCAGGCTTGCACGCTGTCGGGGGACCCGCTCAGCAAATATCCCTCCACCCCCACCCCCACGCCTTTCATGGCTGACTAGGTTCTGAAATCCTTTAGGTTAAAGTTACTGACTAGTGCTTTTGCCCTCTGGCAGAGTACTTTGCGGGGGGGGGGGGGATGTAATGGGTCAGATCTACCTGCTGAGGCCGGCAGGAAACTTTTTTGGGGGGGGGCGGGGGAGAGCCCTGATTGTCAATGACACATTCTTAGTCCCCTTCTATTAGATAGGGCCTTATTATACTTCCTCACACCGACAGGGGTATAAAACCCAGAACCTCGAGTACGTCTTATACCCTGTCCTTTCCTCCATTGCTTTAATTTCACTGAAGACTGGGCCTTCGAGATGGCTCAGTGGGTAAAGACACTTGCTGCCAAGCCTGAAGACCTCAGGAAGAGAACTGACGACTCCTGTAGGCTGTCCTCTGATCTACACACACACACACACACACACACACACACACACACACACACACTCACACAGAGCTTAAATAAGTAATTGATTGCTCTATTTTTGTTTTTGAGACAGGGTCGCATTTATCTCCCACTATCCTTCAACTCTTCATATAGCCGAGGGTGGCCACGACCTTCAGATCTTCTCACCACCATCTCCTGAGTGCTGGGATGACCCATGTGGCTGTGCCACGTCTGTTGATGCCATGGTAGGGATGGAACCCAGGGCTTTGTACATACTAGGCACCCTTAACTGAGGAATCCCAGCCTTCTTTTCCTTTACCTTCAACTAAAAACTTTAAAAATGCATTATTTTGTGTGTATAGGTCTTTTGCCTGTGTGTATGTATGTATGTATGTATGTATGTATGCAGTATGTATGTATGTGCCTCACGAGCATGCTCTGGTGCCCAGGGAGCTCAGAAGAGTGTCAGACCCCCTGGAACTGGAGTCACAGGTGGTTGTGAGCTGCTCTGTGGGTGCTGGGAATTGATCCCCAGGTTCTCTAGAAGGGCAGCCAATGTTCTTAACTACTGAGTCATCTCTCCAGGCCCTTATTTACTTTAGAAAAGATTTGTTTTTATTTGTTTGGGTTTTTTATTGTTATTGTTTTTCGAGACAGGGTTTCTCTGTGGCTTTGGAGGCTGTCCTGGAACTTGCTCTTGTAGACCAGGCTGGCCTTGAATTCACATAGATCTACCTGCCTCTGCCTCCCGAGTGCTGGGATTAAAGGCGTGCACCATCAATGCCCAACTTGTTTTTATGTATGTCTCTGTGCATATTTGTTGTGTTTGTGTTGGGAATATGTGTGCCCTGGAAGACCCAATGGGTATTGAATCCATGGTGCTGGAATTATCTACAGGTGGTCATGAGTCACTTGACATGGCTGCTGAGATCCAAACTCAGGTTCTCTCTTAATCACCAAGGCAGCTCTGCAGACCTTATTTGGAGACTGGGTATCTTGTAGCCCAGGTTAGCCTAGAACTCTTGGTTTTCCTACTCCTGCTTCTCAAGTTCTTAGATTGAGGGTGTGCCTCCACCACACCTAACAGACCATGGCTCAGTGGCAGAGTCTGCTTGCCGGGCCTTTACAAGGCCCCAAGTTTGATACCCAGCACTGTAAATAAAATAAAATAAAATACGGGCATGATACCACACATTTGCATTTTAGTACTTGGAGGTCGAAGCAGGAGGATTGTTGTTAGTTGGGGGCCAGCCTGGGCTATGTAGTGAATTCATGGCAGACTTTGGCTACATAATAAAAGTCTGTCTTGAAAAACAAAAACTAACTTAGCTAAAAAGAATATATCGCTCTCCTCTAAAAATCTCTGTTCCATTAAGGCAACGATTTTGGGGGCTGGTGAGATGGCTCAGCAGGTAAAGGGGCTTGCTGCCAAGCTTAATGATCTGAGTTCAATCCCCATGACCCACTTGGTAGAAAGAGACAACCGACTCCCTACGTTGTCCTTTGGCTCCCGTATGTTCTCTCTCTCTCTAAGTATACGTAATAAAAAATTAAAAGGCAATGACTTTCGGCTATTCTTTCTGTGCTCTCACTGTTAGCAGCAGCAACCAGCATATGAGGGAAAGTCAGTCATTCAGTGTCTAGGGAATACATGCACGCAGATGTTTATGCCTTTGCAATGGACTCTAAGTCTAGAAGGCCCAGATAGAAATGTACCCAGTAGGCCGGCTTGGTGGAACATATTTATAATCCTAGCCCTTGGGAGGCATCGGATCAGGAGTTCAAGGTCACCCTCAGCTACATAAAGAGTTCAAGGCTAGCCTGGGCTACATTGTGAACACCTGTTTCCCTCCCGGCAAATGCATTTGGGGCCCTAAAAGTCAACACAAGCCCTGGGTAGAATGAGGGTTAAGGTAGCTGAGTGTCAGCCCAGTCAGAACTGCACCTGAAAGGACTTGTGCCTGTAGGCACAGCGTCACAAATCAACCAACAGGTGACAAAACGGAACAAACAAGGCTCCAATCAGGATTTGACCGGTTTTCTGACTCCTGTTCCCAGTGGGACAAATCAGTATTTTCCAATCTGCAGGCTGTGACCTGCAAGTGGATGGTGAAATCAATTTTTCAGGACACGACTAGCATTCGAACCAGCTGAGAATCCAGAGGGGTGTGGGAAAATGCGCATGGCGAGGAGGGGTTACTCTGTCACCAGGATTTATGATTTAGTCATGTGGGTATGAAGTGTACACAGTCATGTATTGGATATTGACATAAAGGTTTCTGTTTGTGTGTGGTGGGTGGGTGGGCTAGGGATTAAATGCAGGACGACCTACTGAGTGATGCCCTCTCACTCCAGCCCCTCTCTGGAAGATTCTAGGCAAGTATTCTACTACTGAGCCATGGTTTTAGGCAAGCTCTCTACAGTTAAGACATCTCACTGGGAGATTCTAGGCAGGAGCTCTACCACTGAGCCACACCCCAGCCCCTCACTGGGGGATTCTAGGCAGATACTCTACCACTGAGCCACACCCCAGCCCCTCACTGGGGGATTCTAGGCAGGGGCTCTATCACTAAGCCACGCCTCCAGCCCCTCACACTGGAAGATTTACAGCATCCACTCTACCACTGAACTACATCCCCCAACCCTTAACTTTTTGAGACAGGATTTCTCTCATAGCTTTTTGCCATGACCAACTGACATTGTAACTCAACATTAATTCCTTTACATTTAAAAGCTGACACACCAGTGAGACACTGGAAAATATGCCAACATGAGTGGAAGAAATTGGACAATATTTCTTTTTTTCCTGAGCATAAGATGGTTTTCAGGATGGGAGACTTTCAGTTTAAAAAGCACAGAACATATTCTGTTCAACCAAGATCAAGGTGGCCACATCACTTGGAAGAAATTTAGTTATGCAAAGCCATAAAACTCTACCGTCAGCTCTGGTAGAGTGGACTGAAGTTAAGAAGCTCTGTGAGTGTAAGTGTAAAATGCACCTGGGTGTTCAAAGACTCCATGTGGGAAAATAATGTAAGGTATTTCACAAAATTTTTTTTAAATTTGATTACCCATTGAGTTGATAATATTTGAGATATTGGGATAAATAAACTACCTTTTTTTTTTGGTTTTTCCAGACAGGGTTTCTCTGTATTGTTTTGGAGGCTGTCCTGGAACTCGCTCTATAGACCAGGCTGGTCTTGAACTCACAGAGATCCGCCTGCCTCTGCCTCCCGAGTGCTTGGATTAAAGGCGTGCACCACCACTGCCTGACCTGTTTTCTTCTTTTACCAAGTGAGTTCCAGGGATGGAATGTGGGCCATTAGGCTTGACGGCAGGCACCACCATTACCTTCTGAGCCATTTCACCGGTCCCTCTGCAAGCCTCTTGCCCTCTATTTAAACCTAAACCTCACGCCAGGACCTGACTGGGTTACTGGATGGACCTCTGTGTATCTCTTCTCAGTGTGACCACATTGAATAAATACCCTACCTCTCTTTTTTTTTTTTTCCTGGTTCCCCGCATAATTGCAAATTGTAGCCAGGGTTGAAAGACCATCCGTCTTTGCCATCTCGTTCTCACCAACAAACTTGCTGGAAACGCAAACTCTGTGAGAGTCTGATTCTAACCCTACTGACTGGGAAGCTCTGGGATGCTTCCTGCTACGTATATGGGTGAATACTGCAAGGCTCACATTGCAGAACCATGACCTGAGAGATGGGTGATGCAGGCACGGGATCCGGCATAGCCACTCCCATGGGC